ATAGTAAAGAATTACTAAGAATAAAACATAACAAAAATACTGGAATGGCAAATATATGACTAGCACTTCTAACAATTTGGGGGTAGGATAAACATAACAAAAATACTAGAACAAAAGTTCTAGTATGTGATGGACATGAATGGTGTCCATGACACTTACTGGTGGCCAGGTGTCACCTGTGGGACTGAGCTACTGCTATTTCCTTGATATCCACCCTGTTGACCTGAACAGAATCATGACCCATAGGGTGCAGGAGGAGTCTACTTACGGAGTGTGCTGATGGAAACATTTTGCTGCTGTATAAAAAAGAATAACTGAAAGCTTGCTGTTGTATATCTCTTTTTTCCTGTGTTTAATCATTTGCCCTATTTGGTGGGTTCTTTCCATTCTCATTCATGGAGCTGTGGTCATTTTGATTGCTTTCTAGAATATCTGTTAGTAGTCTGTGTAGGGTTGGCTTTGTTGTCATGAAATTCTTTAGTTGTTCTTCGTTATGGAAGTATTTCACTTCTCCATTAAACTTGAAAGAGAGTTTTGCAGGGTATACCAGTCTGGGTTGGAATTTGTTCTCTTGCAAGACTTGAGGTGCTTTGCTCCATGCTCTCTTCTTCTCCTTCTCCTTCTCCTTCTCCTTCTCCTTCTCCTTCTCCTTCTCCTTCTTCTTTTTAAAAATAATTTTATTGATAAACAAGTAGCAATGAGACAGTTTCAAAACTGATTACTAGCACAGTTTCAATAAATAATACATTGCATATTGTTGTCTTGGTGGTTATTCATTATACAAGATGCAGACATGATATCCTGTCCACAAACACTATTAGAACAAATCTCTGTATTCATTGAACTAAGAGAATGCAGCTGTATATCTATCCTAACCATTTTGACTATACAGATACAAAATGGTCATTCATTTTTATCCCCCTTTTTTGGTTAGTTTTGTCAGAGAAGAAGGGCATTCCATTGTCATTTAAATATTGTAGGTGCATGAATTCAGCAAAATATCCCAATATAGTCCAGTTGTCCACAATAGTAGTGGGTTTTCCATAAGACTGGCAATGTCAGAAGTTATTGACTTGAGCCTTTTACAGCTCAGCCTATTAATATGGCTTTACTTGTTATAGTTTGTTTTTATACTTTTCTGCTGGATGGTTAAGACCAAGATAAAGCAAGACCTATATAACATGAAATGTAACTTTTGTATCTGATAAGGTCAGTCAAATCCCCTCAAGATTTACCCTGAAACTCTGTACCGCAGTTTGTAAATCCTTTGTCAGTGTCAGTCATGTGGATGAGTCACGGCCATTGCTTGACCAATTTGCTGTCTGTGAAAGCCTGAGAGAATGTTTTTTCTCCATGTGACTCTCCTTAGGTACACTCTACATCATAGATCACTTTTCTTTGTGGCCCCATAGTCTCCTTGATCAGAAAATTTAGGACACCACTGAGTTACGGGATGTTACAGTACAGGTTCTCCTATGTCCTGAGTCCTCACTAACCTTGAAAGGCTAGGGCCAAAATGTGGGCTGTCCTTGCAGCCCTTCTTTTTCTCTAATTTTTGGTCTGCAAACTTAGGTTGTTAACCCTCCAGAAGAGAAGCTTATTATATTACCCACAACATAGGCAGTTGAGCTTAACCTCACTATCTGTCTGAATATCAAACATTTTAGGTATAACAGGGAACAGGTATTTTCTGCCAATTATTGATATGTTAAACTTTAAATCCCTCCAAAATATGAAGAAAAAAAACTTAAAAATTTTTTAAAAATTTAAAAATCCATGCTCTTTTTGACTTGGTTTGTGAAGAGAAATCTGCCATTATTCTGATGGGTTTTCCTTTTTTTTGAACCAGGGATTGAACTATGGACCTTGTACTTGCAAGGCAAGCACTTATGCCACTGAGCTATTTCTCCAGCCTGGATTTTCCTTTAAATGTGATCTGTTTTTTTTTCACTTGCAGCTTTTAGTATATTGCTCCTGTACTGAATTTCTGGGATCTTTATTATTATATGTCTGTGTGTGGTTTTAATTGGGTTGATGTTATTTGGAGTTCTATATGCTTCAGTTACTAAATGTCAGATTGTTTCCCCATATTTAGGAAGTTTTCTACTATTCTGCCGATA